CCCGAACCCATGTACTTAAACACCAATTTTCATAAGTAACTTTCCCTTCCTGAGATTCTTTGCCATCGAGATCATGCCTCTTGCTGCTAATTAAGTGTAGAAACATTCCTTTCTTGTTACCTTTGGTATATAAATCTATCTATATGGAAAAGCGACTACCTCCCCAACCTCACCTCCATACATCGTGTCTATCCTGTGTTGTACTTTGTTTGTGCAGTAAATTAATGAGACTTTGGAAACCTAGAACCTCCCAATTTTGTAAGTTCTTTTTGAATCTCAAATCCCAAATGCTTCTCTATCTTGTAAAGGAAGAAGTGAAGAAAAATTATTGATAAATCAGGTAAATAATCTTCAGTTCCTCACACAGTTGTATTCATTTAGTATTCTCATGCTAAATGAACTAAAGGAATTAGAAGTGACTTCTCACATCAGAAAAAGGCACCACATTGCAGTGAACCTCAGATCCTTCTCCCACATATTTCTTGTGTGTGCATACAAGGATAACCTTTTTACCTCTCACATGAACCTGGATAATATCCTCTGATTTAAGATATTTCAAAAGGTTTACGTTGGAAGTTTCATAAAACTCATGACAAATAGGGCAGGACAAGGAGCTGCAGAAATAATGAGAAAAGTTGTGGAGCTGCAAAATTTTTTAGTGTCCAGGACCTGGATGATCTAATGATATCATAGATATAAGAGAATATTTTGTGTTGGGCACCAATCTGATACCATCTGTCACATGTACGTATGTAGACCTAATATTACCATGTGTGTAAAGCATTTGGAGGTTGGTAACTGAAAAAAAACAGCTTTCCCAGAAAGATATAATCCGACTTAAAAGTTTTATGCATTTATAAAGGCATAGAGAATATTATTTGATCATGGAAAGCACTTGCAGATCTTTGCTCATTGTAACAGTCACCTGGATACATCCATTTGGGGTTGGGGTGGGGTGGGGGTGTGTGCTATAAACAGAAAATGTGTGCCTGCTTAACTTTCACTTTACCTTTGTGCTGCTAACATTATACACAAATAAATAGATGTAATGGAACCAGTTTACCTTTCTCAAAAATAAATAAATAGATGTAATGGAACCTGCTCCATATTTGGGTTTCATGCAATCATCATCAGATACCTGTGGTAACAATATAACTATTCGCTCATCAATATTATTTCTTGTATTTTACTTCCTGGATAACCTTCTAGAATAGTTGGATGCAGTTCATTTATTCCGTTGTTTCCTTTTCTTCATTTTGAGTGAGTCATTATGATTAATCACTGTATTGGGTTTTTCTTTTCTCTTCCTCACTTCTTTTAGTTTTAAGTTTCACTTATAATATAATGTCAATACAAATGGTTATTTACTCTTTTCGTACTTTGTCCTATTGCAGGTTGAAGTTGCTCAACCTCTGTCAAAGCTTTGTGCTCAGTTTCCTGATCTTTACATTGGTAAATTAATTGATTTCCCTGCTGCCCGTCCAGCCTTTTCCTCCTTCCTGTTATAACAACTTTCCCTGTTTTCTTGGATATGAAGGAGGCTATCGCGAATCAAGAGAAGGCCCGCTTATAATTACTTTTGAAGGGAAGGTAAATAACCTCTTGCCGAAGATATCACATGGTTTTGAAGCATGTTCTTTTATCAGTTGAATGAATTTGTTGTGTTGCTGTAGGATCTATCAAGAATAGAAGCTGCTTCTCAGTCATTGTGCCAAAAATTTCACCCTGGTGCATTCTCCAAAATCAAGTGACCATCCTAGTTGCCCTGGTTGTTGCTCTTGGCTTGCATATCCAAGTTATATGGACCAAAATGGCCTCTAAATTTTGGACTTAAAAATGCCAAAAAGGAGAATAAAGGTACAATGAAGGAGAACGATGCTCGAGAAGAAAGAGATCAAAGAAAATGGAATAGCTTCAATTTCAGCTCAATTGCAACTCTTGATACAAATATTTACTGTTTCATACAGTTTAAGACACAATTACTTGAAAGCTTATTTGTACCTCTGGGATCAAACAGCCTTTCTGTTGCACAGAATCTCTTATATTCTGTACTAGTAGTTTATCATCTGCCATTTACTTGGTTACATTATGTTACTATAAATTGATGCATTTCACCTTTCATTTCAACCAAACTGAATCCTGGTGTTTTGTGTATACCTTCAGTTTTCATCTTCTCCCTTACTTTTTCAGCATCAAACCATCTGTTTTCTGCAGCATAAATGTTGGAGAGAAGAATGTAACGCCCCGAGTGATACGGGTCCATTTGAGTCACAATCTTGGCTATCCTTTCACCCATTTGAACCTCACCATGCATCCTACAAGCCCCTAGCAAGGCACCCCAGATGCCAGCATCAGCTTTTTCAGGCATATCTTGAATAAACATCTCTGCTTCTTCAAGCAAACCCGCCCGACCGAGAAGATCAACCATACAACCATAGTGCTCAGATCTTGGTGTAATGCCATGTACTTTACTCATAGCATTGAACAGCCATTTGCCTTCTTTAACTAAACCTGCGTAGCTGCAAGCACATAAAACACCTAAATATGTTATCTCATTAGGACCTGTTCCTTCATCACACATTTGATGGAACAACATAAGAGCTTCCTTTGCAAGACCATTCATTGCTAGTCCAACGATCATGTTAGTCCAAGCCAACACTGATTTTTTTCTCCGTATCGTGTAAAATACTGTAAGAGCTTTCTCAGGATCGCCACACTTGCTATACATATCCAACAAAGCTACCTCAACTTCTTCCTCCTTTATGTTCTGTTTTTCCATGCAAGAGTGGATGGCTTCACCGATATGCAGTACACCTGCATATCCACAAACTGAGAACAACCCAACTAACGTTATCCGATCAGGTTTCAATCCAAACCTGAACATATCTCTTAGCAACTCTAAGGACTTCATATACATCTTGTTCTGAGTATAACCAAGAATCATAGTGTTCCATGAGACTAAATCTCTATCTGGCATTGCTCGAAAGATAGTCTCTGCTGAACTCATATCACCTGCCTCAGAATACCCACTAAGCATGACATTCCAAGCAGTAGTATCCTTAGGCATCTGACTAAAAACAACACCAGCTCTCTCTAGTTCACCCTTTTGTATAAAACCATCAAGAAGTGAAGTCCATGAGAAAACCGTCTTCATTTGCATCCTATCGAACAACTTCTCAGCTGACTCCATATCTCTAAACTTAGCATACATATCAATCAACCCATTACCAAGATTTTCACTCATATGTATTCCTCTTTTCATAATATACAAATGTATCAACTTGCCTAAACCAAAATCCCCCATTTTCAAAGAACACGAAACAAGTCCAAGAAGTGTAACCGCGTTAGGCTCAACCCCGTTCCAACACATCTCGTTAACCGCAGCCAAAGCCTCATCAAAACAACCATTTTTAACAAAATCATCAATAACCACATTCCAAGAAACTACATCTGGTTCAGGCATTTCATCAAACAGGTACATGATCTCGACGAAAAACCCAAACTTTGCATACATATGTAAAAGTGAATTTGCTATATGAAGGTCCAAAACATGCCCAAATTTTATCACAGAACAATGCAATGCTTCACCAAGAATGTAATTTTGAGTCCTGCACACTGCTTTAATCACAAAAGGGTAAGTATAATGATTAGGGAAAAAACCATATCGTAACATTTTGACGTAAAAACTCATTACTTCACTTGGATTAGAGCTAGAACCATAACCTCTAATTATAGTATTGAACATGAAAGTATTGGGTAAATCAATTTGGTTAAAAACCAAGTGGGCATATGCTAAATTTCCAGTAGGAGAAAGTGCTGTAAAGGAAAGAACAGCACTGAGGAAAAGGGTGTCATTTGAAAGGCCATTTGTGATGAAATGGCCATGAAATTTCTTGAGATGTTTCATATTTGTACAGTTTTGTATAAGAAAAAGGTGTGGATTGGTAGCTAGTTTTAGAAGTTTTCTAATGGTGGATGAACACATGACGGGGCGGAGCTAGAGGGACTCAAAAGGTTCATCTGAAACCCCTTCGACGAAAAATTATAATTGTGTTATTTGTTATGCATGTATAATAGACTTGAAATCTTCATGAATTTTTGTTTGAGTGAAAATTGTGGTTAAGTCAAAATTTATCCGACAAGGAATTTTACTATATTAGGACGGTTATGATTGCTATTCATCGGACCTCGGCTCTTTTATTATCAGGTAACCAATTTCTTTGACCTTTTTATTTATACAAAAGTGTCATCCACGATACGTGATTTTATAATTTTATGGAGATTTATATTTCTTATAAACAATAGCTTAGGTCTTGCCATTGCCACCCCATTCTTTGAGGCGACGCCCCTTCTTCCGGAGTTAAGCCTACACGGCTATATTATCGAGTTTCTTAGATCTACCTATGCATTTATGTGTACCTTCTTGCTTAAAGCTATTTAAGTTTTTCTTGGAAGTATGTCATGAGTTACTTCTCAAATATTGACTCAAGACATTTTACCTTTAAAAAAAAATACCTAGCACTTAGTTTTAAATATTTATGTAATTATAAATTATTTTATTAAAATTAAAATTTAAAAAAATTATTAAGTACTATTTTGGGACCGGGACAATTTTATTTTTTTTGGTATATAAATATCTCTTACTAAAAAAAATAAAAATGCATTCCTTCATTTCCCCTCTTATCTCCAAATTGGTTCCTTTTTGTGTGTGGATTTGGTGAACTCTGGTTAGTTTTTCTCTCTTCTTTGTGGAATGCCTATGTAAATGTTTGATTCAATACCATGTATATGATTATTTTTTTCCTATTTACTCATGTTATTTTGGTGGATTTTATACATGTATGTAGTTATTTGTCGTAAAATTTTTCTATGGAAGCAAACTGAATTGCCATTAGGAACAAAATACACTGTAGTAGTTGAGAAATTAAAGGAATATCATTGATGCAGCAAAAGTGTTCGACGATATGCCTCAAACAACTGAACTTTTTTATTTTTTGTGTATAGTATATTTCAACAACAACCCTAAAGGTACATTACTTCAACTAGACTGAATTGTTTAACAATATTTTCCGCCTATTAGTATTGATATTATTATTACTCTTGAGCCGAGGGTCTATCGGAAACGGTCCCTCTACCTATGCAGTGAGCGCGCATTCTAGGTGGGACTACATTGGGTATGTTGTTGTAGTATTGTTATTATTACTCTTGAGCTGAGGGTCTATCGGAAACAACTCTCTACCTGCGCGGTAAGGGTTTAGTTTGCGGACTCTACCCTCCTTAGACACCACTTGTGGGACGACTCTGGGTATGTTGTTGTTGTAGTAGTAGTATTGCTCTCCTAGGACTTTTTCATTCGATCGTAGTATTACCTGTTGTTTCCTTTGCTTCAGTGATCGTAGTATTTGTTGTTGTTATTGTTCTCTTCTTTATTGTTTTCAGCATGGCTACTTTATTTGCTTTGCTTTACTTGATTTTTGATATGCTTTAGTTGAGCTGAGGGTCTTTCGGGAACAACCTTTTTACTTTCACAAGGTAGGGGTACGACTGCGTACACATCACCCTCCCTAGATCCCACTTGTAGGATTACATTGAGTATGTTGTTATTTATGGGTTGTATAGCCTTTTGTTGGAGAAATATTTGTTTGAAATGCATTCAATTTGCTTCCAAGTATATAGATTTTGCAGCATTGCTACTGTTCTTTCAATAACAAGACAAGTAATGGATTATGATAATTTAGGGAAAAAGAAGAAGTGAAAATGGGTGAAGGGGGTGAGAAAGCAGAGAGAGGAAAACTTCCGGTGAATGAACAGGGGAACTTAATGACAGCCACTGGTGATGAAAATCTCAAGGACATTTTCCACACTATCAGAATAACTGAAACTCCGGTTAGCTTGAGTTTCTACAATTTATTTTTATTTTTGAAAGAAACAAGCTTTTCTATTCATAGATAGCGATGAATTAAAGCTTTTTGCTAACTGTGTTTTGCAGGCTGTAATCAATTATGGAGCTTCTTGGTAAGTCAGTTGTTCACTAAAATCTTCTATATTTGGTCTTTTTCTTATCTGTACTCTTTAGATTTCGATATAAATATTGGTTCTGATATCGAGGTTCATCTGAACCTTAACTTTTGACATGGAACATAAATTAATGTGTCAAAGTCAACTAAAATTGCAACAAATAGTAGGTATGAGCCCATAACTTTATATATATAACGGGTTCAATGCTAAGAACCTTAAAAGTTGAACCCATAAAGCTTAAATCCTATATCCAACTGTGATTTTTCGCATATTTCTAGCCTAGTTTATTTCAGTTGGAAGTCCTTGAGCTTTTGCTTCTGTGTTTGATCCCATTTCATCTTTTGTTACCCTAGTTTGATATAGAGTTAAAATATACCAATCTGAATGAGTCGTGAGTTGCAGAAGTAGGAAGATGAATGCACATGAATTTAGGAACGGCCAGCATTATTTCTGTACCTGTATTGATATGCAAGCTAAAGTTTTTCTGAAAAACAAATATTGTTGGTCAGTTTCATCAAACTAGTGCTAGTTGATGAAAGTTACAAGTCTGAAAGGAAACTTTTAAGGTTTACCACTTAGGCTTTCCAATCTACCCTTGAGGTGGAATCCTTAAGGATCTCGAATGAGAGTCCGATAGATTTCACATAATTTTCGAACCTCCTATATATGCTTTTTGAAGACTAATTTGGCTGCAGTTTAACTGTAATGTTCTTCAATGTTGTTAGGAGCTTAAGGTACTGCTTTAAATGAGTTTTTTAAAAGTCTACTGTGAATACGTGTTTGTCTTTGTCCACGCTGTGTTTCCAAAACCTGTTTAAAAATATTTCATCTTCTTCTGTCAAGTTTGTAATTTGCTAGTAGACGTGAGGCCGTGGCTCTAGATCTTGTAGAAGCTCTCCTGGTCTTCGTCGTGTCTTGAGTTCGAAGTTGCAAAAATCTAGTGGTCAATTCTTAAGTTCTACATGTAACACCTGTGTTTCAAAGCTCTTTATAAAATTAGTTTGTCTTCCTCTGTCAATTTGTTAGTTGCTAGCGCACAAGGCCATGGCTCTAATTCTTCTTGATGTCTTCTTTCTATTGTTTACTAGTTCTACAGGATGTTCAACTGTGAACTAAGTAGATATCAATAAGGTGAATGGTTTTACTGTTGTCATTTGACTCTATCTGTGTTTTTCCCCTAATGAGATTAACTTTTATGTCTAGACTTGATTCTACGGTAGAGCATAATCCTTTCAGCTGTCTGAAATCCACTATTTGAAGAAAAGTTTTGCCGCTTGTCAGTTTTAAAATAGTAGATGGAATTAAGACACTAGGGATGTGAGTTTTGTGTCTGCTTATATGATTTTGGTGGGCATCTCAACGTTGTAATCATCAAACCAATATATACTGTGGCATTGAGTGAATTCTGAAAGACATCAAATGATCAAGAAACTACTTGGAAGTTTTTGACATTCAACGACCATTGTGTTTTGCATTTGTAGGTGTCGTGTCTGCAACCAGATCCTTCCTACATTTTGGGAGCTAAGCAAAAAGTTCCCAAAACTCTCTTTCGTATACGCTGATATTGATGAATGTCCAGAGACAACACAGAACATTCGGTACACACCAACTTTTCATTTCTACAGAGACGGTGAGAGGGTTGATGAGATGTTTGGTGGAGGAGATGAGCGCTTGCATGACCGTCTGTGGTTGCATTCGTAGATGAATGTTTTCAATACCAAACTTTTACTTTTGTATGACAGATGACCAAACTTTTATCATATTTCTAGGAGAAAAGACATAAAGTTGTTTCGTATTTGCATAGAGACATTTTAACTTTGAAAGTGTCTTATCACCCCACAGAACTATTTAATATCTTTGTAAATGAGCCATTTTGACCCATTTCCTCGTCTGGGTTGTTACCACGCACATGAGGCAGTGTTTTCACTGCTATTAACCAGCTATAAAGTGCTACGTGCCGTTTTATTTTTTTATTATTAATTATTTAATTAATTTACATCATTTTCCCCAAATTTAAAGAGAAAAGAGTCATTGGTAGCCCTAAAATCGATTTCAACTTTTTTTCCAAAGCAAGCTCAACGTTGGTGCTCTCTCTTTGACAAATTCATTCTTTTCCATTATCTTCTTCACCCAAATTCAAAAATCCAATTACCTTTTCTTCATCTTCTTCAACTTAGAAGATCCATTTACTTCATCCATTTTAATCACTTTTTTTCTTGTCTCTTGCTTTTCTTTGTTTCTTTTTCTTCTTTTATCCTCTTTTTTTTTAAAAAGAAAACAAAAACAAATGTGAACTCCATTGATTAGAGAGAACTATGAAACTCCATTTTTATTCTTATTTTTTGTCTGAATATAGAACTCCATTACCTTGCTTTAGTAACTTGAGAGTTGAATTGATTTTTTTTTTAGTGATGATTTAGTGGCGGAAATAGTGCGGTAATAGGGAAGCATCATGGAGGCTTCGTTGAAGGCGACAATGGCTGCTACTTTTGGAGGATTTACAGCAAAGAACAAAGGATTTGAGTAATGAAGGTTGAAGAAGAGAGGGAAAAAATGAAAATGAAAATTTAAAAGAATTTAATACGTGGCAAACAATAATTGGTGCGTGATTGATTGCACTTCTTTTCTTGCAATTGAGGTTGGGTGAAAAGTGAGATATTTATAACACTCTTAAAGTGTCCGATGGGGAAATAGGACACCCACAAAGTTAATGTCTTTTTGAAAATTTGAGATAACTTCAATCTTATGTGATAGAGTTTGTCTTTTCTCTATTTCTAGATTTACCATGCACCATGAATTGTATTTTGCATACAATATGTTTCCAGAAAAAGAAATTAAAGCAAATCAATTGATAAACTGACTTGCATTTCTCATTATGATAAAATGATCACAATAAACAAATTTCATCAGACAGGAAGTTGTATGATAAAAACATATATAAATTGGATAAAACAAGGAGAACTTAAATCACAGCTACTCAATAATCATTACAAAATAGAAATAAGGTACTGCAGAAAAGGGTAAAGAAAGAAATAGGAAAATAACAAATGTTCAGTGACTCGGAACGGAAACGCTTGTTCTCTTCTTCCAGCACCAATGCAGCCTAGAAAACAAATATCAATATCAATGTATGATATGATGAAGCTTGTTTATTGGTCCGCGACAAGAATAATGGCCAGTAGAAATTTAACTGGCCAAAAAATTGTAATGCAAGACCTCACTCACTCAAGCTTTTGGCTTGAGGACCTTGACAGTCTCCCAGGTGAAATCGGGGTCATCACGTCCAAAGTGACCGTAAGCTGCAGTCTTCTGGTACCTGAAGTTGCCTCCTCTCAACAAATCAAGGTTGATTGACATCATTCCAGGCCTGAAGTCAAAGTTCTCCTTGATCAGAACCAAAATATCCTTGTCGGGAATTGTTCCTGTCTTGTAAGTGTCAACAAACACGGAAAGTGGTTCAGCCACACCGATAGCATAAGAAACCTGCACAATACAGCGACGAGCAAGTCCTGAGGCAACCACACTCTTTGCTGCCTGCCTAACAATGTAAGCACCACTCCTGTCCACCTTAGTGGGATCCTTTCCTGAGAAGGCACCTCCACCGTGAGCACCCCAGCCTCCGTAGGTATCAATGATAATTTTCCTGCCAGTAAGACCAGCATCTCCATGTGGACCACCAATGACAAAGCGACCTGATGGGTTGAGGTGGAAGATGGTGTTCTCATCAAGGTACTTAGCTGGGATCACAGGCTTGATCACATGCTCTTTCAAGTCCTGGGCTATCTGGTCGTTGGTGACAGTTTCGTCATGCTGGGTTGAGATGAGAACAGTGTGAACTCTAATAGGGACCATGGCACCATTGTCATTCTTGTACTCAACAGTAACTTGGGTCTTGCCATCGGGCCTGAGCCATGGGCAGGTTTTGTTCTTCCTCACTTCAGTAAGCTTGGCACCAAGCTTGGTGGCCAAAACATGGGTGAGGGGCATGAGCTCTGGAGTTTCATCTGTGGCATAGCCAAACATGTGACCTTGGTCACCAGCTCCAATTTCTTCTGGTTTCTTGGTAAGATGACCGTGAACTCCTTGGGCAATGTCAGGGCTCTGCTGTTCAATGTTGACAAGGACCTTGCAGTTGTCAGCATCAAGACCAACATCTGCTGAGATGAATCCAATTTCTCTGCATGTGTCACGTACAATCTTCTCGTAGTCTACGTTGGCCTTGGTTGTGATCTCTCCAAAGACCATAACCATGTTTGTCTTTGTGCAGGTTTCACATGCAACCTTGCTTTCAGGGTCCTGCTCTAGGCAAGCATCAAGAATGGCATCTGAGACCTGGTCACAGAGCTTGTCGGGGTGACCTTCGTTGACTGACTCTGAGGTAAACAAGAAAGTTTCCATGTCTGCTCTGACCAAATTTAAGACAACATGTTAAAACCTACCTTAAAATAGTCAATTTACCAGTAAATCAAGGAAAAACTGCTAGTACTACACATGCGACAACTATTATCCAACTATAAGTCAGATACTATCCAACAAGATCATACTATAAAACCACCACACATGCACATATCATATTCCCAATAAACTATCCCACTTAGAGCCCGTTTCGATTGACTTAAAAAAAGTAGTTTTCAAGTCGAAAATTTAACTAATTTTAAGATATTTTTAACCTTGACAAACATTTTCTAACTTATTTTAAGTTATTTTTATATTTGCCATAACACTGAAATTAGCACTTAAACTACCCAAATTGATGGACACAAGCCTGTTGATCAAATGTAGTTCCTCGCACTTAAAAAAAAAACTAATTTGTCAATGAGATCTGACTACTAGTTTACCAATGTGAACAAATATCATAACAATCAAAGTTAATATCACTAGTACACAAAGAGATCTAAGCACAAACCAAAGGAGTACACTTGCATATGCTTTCGAAACGAATCAACGTGTATGACACAACAAAATGAGAGTATTTACAGTAGAAATGCTGAGATCTAGATCCTAAATCAACAAAAAAACATACACGAAGAGCAATGTCAGATCTAATACGAAACTAATGGAGCAAAAAAAAGGAACAAAATCAAAATCTAATAATGAAAAGGGGAAGAAACATGTTAGCATATTGGAAAATGTTGCAAGACAACCACTAATTTACATACATTTGAGCTTTTCGAAACGAATAAACATGTATGAAATCACAAAATAAGAATATTCACAGTAGAAATGCTGAGATCTAAATCCCAAAACACGATTCATAACAGATCTAATGGATCAAAACAACAACAAAATCAAAAAATCCAATACAGAAAAAAAAAACTAAATTCCTCCATGGATTTAAAAACATAACTTTGATAACAACACATAACAATTGCATATAAAAAAATGTTGCTAAAAACCCACTAATTTACACACATTTGACACTTTTTGAAATGAATAACATGTATAAACTGACATCCCGAGAATATTCATAGTATAGATACTGAGATCTAGATCCTACACACATAACACTTGCATATTAAAAATTGCTGCTGCTTGAAAACCACAAATTTACCCACATTTGAAACTTTTCAACACCAATCAACATGTATAAGCTAACATAATAAAAAAATTCAGCGTAGAAATACTGAGATCTAGTTCCTAAAATATGCTCGAAGAAAATTCATAACAGATCTAATAGAACAAATAAAAAAACTGTAAATTACTCCATGAATTTGAATATATACCTCTGAAAAACAACACATAACACTTGCATAACAGAAAATGTTGCTAAAAAAACACTTTTTTACAGTATGGAAGGCCCTAATGAGTACATTTACGGTAGAAATGGTAAGATCTAGATCTTAATTTTTTTCATAAAAATGGTTCATGACATATTTAATAGATCAAATCAACAACAAAATCAAGTAAATTCCGCCATAAATTTGAGAAACATACCTTTGAAAAATTGAAGAATTTTTTTCCGGATGGAAGAAATTAGAAGAGATTTGGATCTGTGTGACGAATTTGGAGATGTTGTGGTTCAGTATTTATAAGCAGCGAAATTGAAGGAGAAGGCGCGTAGACTTCACTCGCTTTTTTTTTTTTTCTTACATCTTTCATACACCACCAACCAACCTATGGCCCACATATACCTTCTCTGTGGGACCCCACCCACCATTTATTATTTAACGGTCAAGATCATTTCCTAAATTTTAGTGTAGCTTATCATTTCAATGAACAAGTAAAAATAATTGAAAAAAAAATAATTTAAAAGTTGGAGGTAGAGGAAGGAGAAATGGAGGAATAAATTATAATGTGAGAGAATCGAATCTTTATAATAAAATAAGGTGAAAGTTCAGATAGCTAACTAAATAAGCTACTAAAATTTTAATGTAGGTTATCATGGAATTGGGGTCGTGGTCGTTTAATTAGAGAACAAGTTTTTTTTCAAAATTAATAATTGTGATCTTATAATATTGTCATTCATGATAAAGGAATTATTTAGTAAATATATTTTTATTAGTATATGTATTTTTTTATTAGATTAAAATTGAGATATATGATGATAATATAAATTATGTATTTGATTTAAATCAACTAGATAAAATAGTATATTTTTTTATTTTCAAATTTAAATCTAATTTTCTTTTAAAAACTTTGCTTGACGAGTTTTGAAGAAGGGTCAATATATCATTTTAATGTTAAATTTCGAAATAAATAGTTCTGAAATTATTCGTCCGCATGTAATGTGAATAAAAATAATACTATCATAATTGAGGTATGAATAACCCCAAAAGTTTTCTTGTGTTTTATTTGCATATTTCTCGTATTATTATTTACTTATTTCATTTGAAAATTAATGTTTGTGGAATAAAAATAACATTTATAATAAATTATAAATCAAATTTGTAGTTTGTGTGCGTGGGGTGACATGTTCCCACTAAGCTGTTTTTGTAATTTTTATATTTGTTGAAGTTGGTGAAAATATATTTAAAAAAATTATAAAATAAGTTGGTTGGTGAGAATTTGCATTATGGAGTTGTAAGTTGTGCCTCGATGGTTGAATTAGTTTTTTTTTTTCAATTCACCGCGTTGTGTAGAGTTCATTAGAAAAAATATTTTTATCAAAAATATTTCATTTTCGAAATTCAAAATCGAAATCACTTATGAAAAAAAAAAAACAAGTCTTATCTATTGCACAATATCTTTTAACATTGATTTGTTTGTTTAATATTGGAATTATTATTTGACATACTTAGTTGCCTTTTTAACTCACCTACAACAAGGTTTGGTAGATGTCACTTTTAACTTTGATCATAGAAGAGAAGTTACCTACTCTTTGACTTGATTATGATTTGATTAATTTTTTAAAGTTGGTACTTGGTAGGTAAGTTTAGTAAGAATCAATGAAGATTATGATGGATGAATAAAATAGCTCAACTTTAAATATTTTGATATAAAAAAGATTTATTAAGAAACGTTTTCCTTAAATAGATTTTTAAAAAATGAATTCATATTTATCGATATTTCAATAACACTATCAAATTTCGGGTGACAAACAAGGTTTAGCAAGTAAAATATTCCGTTTATAAATAATATATAACAATTTATTATCGACTAAAATTCATAAACTTCAAATTCTGAATCATCTCCGTTGTTCTGGCAAGTGGCATCTCTTACCATGTCATGAGACCAAAAAAGCATTATTATGCGTTCGCACGTCAAGAGTAACATGGAGTGTGTTGCAAATTGCAAACATATGTCAAAAGCTTAGTTTATAGCTGTATGTTTGACAATTACTCTAGGATTTGATCTGTCTTTTTATTCCTTCACAAACTACTTTGACCCCTCTTCTTTTGGATCTTGACATTTCATTTCCCACTTATCTTTCTATAATACAATCATTATTTCTTAAGAATCGTGCAAAGTCTAAAATAGACAAATAAAAATGATCAATGGAAAAGCCTAGGAGTAACTTATAAAGTTGTTGTCATGTGACTAGGAGATCACGAATTTAAGCCTTTAAAGCAACTTCTGGTAAAATTGCCTACAATTGGTCTCGGATCTCGCACATAACGAAGAATTTAGTGCACCGATTTTTTATTTTTTTTTAAAGAAGAGAGTATTTTAAAACGGAGGAAGTAACATAAATAGTGTAGATCCCTAGGGGAGATCCAGCCAACCTAGTAAAAAAGAGAAAAAAAAGAAAGATCTGTTAGAACCTACTCTATACACAATCAATTTCGTTGTCAAGCATGAAGCATACATTTATATTTGTATGTCTATTTTTCTAAGTGTCGGTCATATATATATATTTATTTCTAAATAGGTATGGCCTAATAATTAATGAACGGCGAACAATAATTATAACTTTACCCAATTATAAATACAAATTATGATATAGATTTGCTCGTATTTTGTAGGGATAAAGGTCTGAAAAATATCCTAACTTTGATCAGATTTGCTGTTGCGATACTAAACTTTCATGAGGACCTATTACCTCCCTAGGCTATTTAATACCGTATTTTAAACATATATATTTGCCCACGTGGACATAAAAAATAATGCAAAATTATAAATAGTAATGTGTCCACGTTGGCACATATATACCTTTAAAATACACTATTAAATAGTTCAGGGGGTAAAAAATACGGTATTAAATAGTCTAAGGAGGTAATAGGTCCTTATGAAAGTTTAGTATCGCAACAACAAATCCAACCAAAGTTGGGGTCATTGTCAGACCCTTATCCCTATTTTGTATTTACATTACTTTTCAATAGTAAAAAAGTTGTTAATTCTTACCTCATTTATTACGATGGGGACTTATCTCTTCATATTGTTTTAGATGAATTTTCATCCTAGTATGAACTAATTTTTGAGGTTAAATAAATTACATCAAGATTTATTTTCTTGTCATGATATTGAAATTAAATTTATCTCAATTTTTTACTTATACTATGTTGAGGTTCGATATTTATATTATCCACTCTCTAATTGGCAGGACTAAGTGTACGAGAGGTGTGGACTCCCATATCGATCGTGAAATAAGAGACTTGATTTTCTTTTATATATATCGAGTACAAATAAATTTTTAACATCGACTTATATGTGAATATAAAATATAAGTGGAAAGGAAGAAGTGTCGGTCATATTTGTTTGTTAAGGTATTGACACTATTATTTGTTTTGATGGTCATATGATGGGACAGCTAGACAAATGGAGACCCATCCCAAATTATATGGTAATTTTTGTCCTATAAACTAGACAATAGTAGTAGTAGTAATTTAGGAATATTAAATAGATGGATCGAATATATTGAATTTGGACAGATTAAAATGGATCATTCAGGGTTCAAACCTTCAGGTCCAACTCTCTACTCTCGACCCCTCCACCTCGACTTGGGATCCAAGACACGACTCTAACATGTGACTCGATACTTTATTTGATCCAAATCTGAAATCTAAGACCCAACCTTTATTAAGACCCGATTACTGACTTAGAAACCGAGAAATGAGATTCAGGACCTAACCCTGACCCAAGATTTGATTTAGAACTAGATTCTACTCGACTCGACTCGAGATCCAACCCTATCACAGATTCAAGACCCAATCCTGACCCTCGACCTTAACTCAGGATGCAAGATCCAAGACATGAGACATCGTAAAGGTTCTATTTTTTCCAAACCAGTAAATAGAACTTATGTTATAGTTAAAGTTGTTCCTAACCTTCACTACTTAATATTCGTATGGACCTGAATACCGACAGATGGTCAGTGACCCAAAAGCTTACGAAAGAATGACCAATAGAGAAAAATAAGTATATTTATTCTTTCTTAGACCCTACTGTGAAATGAAATTATACACGATATTTTGTTATTATAATTTGCCCTGACCGACAAAGAGAAAAAGAAAAAAAAATACTTAATTTGAAAAATAGTTATTATTTTATTATTTAGCTGTGTGAATTCATCAATTGTCAAAATTAGCAGTGGTCAATTATTACACACTTCAACTCCAAAGAAGCTGACAAATTATAATTTTGATAATCAAGAAATTTAACTAAGTGCATTTTTCTTTAAATAGTAGGAAAAAATGTGTTTTTATAATGTTATTCCATGCACTAAACCCCCCCCCCCCACCCCCCAATAAATTTAACTAATTTTAACATAAACTAACGACATAAATTTCTAATTATAACATTCACTTAGCAGAAAAAGTTGGATAGGCAAATGGATTATTATCCAATAATCCAAAAATGGACAAACCAATAAATGCATATTTCTTTTAATTGAAAATTAAACTGTACTTAATCAGTTATAATGACAACCAAAAGAGATCTTAATTACTTCTATATAATAATTAGAGAGGTGGAATTATGCATAGCAACACATTGTCCTACTCAAAATCAACTCTTTTATTTGTTCTTTTTAATACCTTGATATATAATTGAGTAGCTAAATGATTTATTATACATTAAAGTGTATTTATTTCTCTTGACTTTTTTTAATTACAAAACTCTCTTGTGAAAATAATTTGAATTAATATCCAATTAGTTGAACCAACATATTGGATAGTTGATTCTCATACTAGCTCCCCGTGTCCCAATTTGTGTAGCACAATTTTGATTTCGAAAGTTGAATAATTTAATTTGGATAATGAATTCGGGCATGAAATCAATAAGTTTTTTCTTCTTTTGGAAACAAAATTTACATTTTTAAAAACTATGCAAGGAGTACTATAAGTCATAATAATTGACAATTCAAGAAATTTAAAAGATGTATAAGAAAATCATGACAAAACAAAGTCTTATTTGGATTTCGAAAGGTACCACATATATTAAGAACGAATGAGTACTTGATATGGATCAACTCATAGCGGTTACTGACCACTTTTAGGTTGTTTTTTTTTCGATAGACACATTACAAAGTAGCTATTTGTGAAATTTATTCCATATAAACCGAATCAAATTATTTGAGTTGTAATCAGTGGCGGAGCTAGAATTTCAACTAAAGATTGTCTAAACATAAAGAAGTAAAATCAAATATGTGCCCACGTGGACACATTATTATTTACAATTATGCAATATTTATGATGTCTATGTGGGCACATATATACCTTTAAAATACACTATTAAATAGTGCAGGGTAAAAGGTCTTTTCCAAAGTTCGGTATCGTAACAACAATTTCGGCCAAAGTTTGGATATATTTCAGACCTTTTTCCCTAATATATATATACATAAAAATATATTTTTACCTAGTCAGAATTTAATTTTCCAACGAAGAGGTGTCAGTCTCAATTATATGTGGCTCTGCCAATATAGTAGGATGGTTGAAATCCCTCCACCCTTAATAAGAGGTTTCAAATTTAAGCCCTTGAAAATGGAAATAATTCGGTTGGAAGCATCGACCCCAGAAATAGATCATGCAATGCACAACTCTAAATTTAATCGAACTTCAATATAAATATCGTACTAAAAAATCCAAAGTCTGTTCAGGATAAACGGATTACACATTTGTGACTTCATAGAACAATTTGACTGCAGAAACATGATTAATTACTAAAAGTATCTCAATTTTTTCATCACCAATCTAACTTATAAATATTTCTAAATTTATAACCCTTATATCAAATTTGAACTATACTTCAATAGCAAATTATAATAAACAGTAAATTTTTCTCAGCTCTAAATAGAACATTTATCGAAACCAAAAAAAAAAGAGTATATCCCAACAGTATATTCTTCGTCGTTCATCATGAATTGACTAGTTTTAGTAACTTAAACCAAGCTGAAGTCCGAGGAACGCGTGTACGAGGAACAATGTCATTATACCACTTCCCAATATCCCGTGAACATTCCTCAATCCGGAATTTCCCTAAACAATTCACGATAACCTAACATCAGTATCGATCAATCAACTACATCTCAGTCCCGATTTAGGTAAAAAAAGAGGAAAAAATCCGTTTTCTTGATGAAATAAGTGTTATAATTTGGACAAATTGAACGAATTTACCTCGAATAGTGTAGGCAAAATGGTTTGTATAGTCAAAAGGGTAAGGCCGATAAAACCTGTAACAGCATGAGGACTGCAACAAAAACAGAATGTCAGCGCGACATATTGTTTATAGAACTTGTTTTCCCTACTCTGACTAAGAAAGTCGTTTTCTTGATTTTTTAAGCCTACACAAAATGCTATTCCAAAACATTTCAACCAACCAAACATGAAAAATTCGTAAAAAAAACATTTTTCCGAGCACACGCCTAAATAAGGTACCTTTCAAGAATAGGCTTATCTGAAGTAAGCAGGGATGTTATTCCACCAGTAGCTCCAAGAGCAAAGAAGAAGAACATTCCTCCTAGAAGTTTTGGATGCAAATCTTTAGCTTTCGCCTTTTCCTCCTACAAATAAACATTGATTTATCCCGATGGCAACAAGAGTACTAATTAACAATACAACACAACAGGTATAGTAAGCAAAATCATACGACTCGTCATAAAGGGGCATAATAGACGATGACAAGGCTTCTTAATTCTTACCACATCATTAGAAAATCGTATCCGAAAACCAAGGTAAGTTCCATAACCACCCATAGCAAAGAGCACAACAGCCTGAAAATTAAAGGAAAATTTTGTTCTGTATAGTGTTTGTTTGTTTCGAGAAATCTATCATCAATTCCGATTCTTTCTTTTTTCTCTCTTGATTTTTTTCCGATCGAGAGATGCAGAAAACATACCATGTTACCAGGATGTCCCCAATGTACAAGCCAATCAGGTAAGTTCCATGATTTTACAAGCTCAACAAATGGCCCAAATAGAGACCTTATAGTTCCAGCTGAATCAAAATAACAAGTAGTACTATTAGCACTGTTCTCATAGTTTCTTGTTTGTTGAGTGTTGTACCATTTATGTTTCTTGTGTTTTGGTTATCACATTATTTCATTGTTGTTACTGTCCTTTTTTTTGTAAGTTACGTACCATTTCTCATAATGCTTTATTTCGTTGTTGTTATTGTTTTTATTGTTGTATTTTTTTTTTCAAATTGTTTTAGATGCTTTACTTGAGAGATAGACTCTATCAGAAACAACCTTTCTATCTCCACGTATCACTACGAGGTAGGGATAAGACTGAGTACGTATACTCTATCCTCCTCAAACTCTACCGGTGGAATTAGACTAGGTATATGGTATTGTTGTTCCAACCAATTCAAATTAGCATCACAAGTATAAGATACTCTTTCATTTCCTCAAGATAATTTTTTTTGAGACGAGGATTTATCGAAAACAACCTCTTTATTCCACAAAGATAGAGATAAGGTCTGCTTACACTCTACCCTCTCTAGGCAGGGGCGGATCTAGGGGGGTCCAAGGGTGTGGAATACCTTCAACAAAAAATTATAATATATATAGCAAGACTAGAGTTTGGCCCAATAGTTTAAGAGTTCAAGTTCAAATAACAAGCACTACATTTTTATTTCTTGAACCTCGTAATGAAAATCCTAAATCCGACACTGTTCTAATACGTTGTTGTTGTAGACTTGTAGGTATAAGATAAAAGCACCAGAAGAAAGAGCATTTACCTCCAGGAAGAGCAGCAACAAACATCAATGGCAAAGGATTGTAAGAATACAAGAATGTCTCATTAGTAAAAGACATTTCTTCCACTTCATTTTCTTCTTTTTCTAATTCAACTATTTTTAAATCAACATTAATATCTTCACAATTCAACTTCTTGTAAGCTAAGGGAGGAGCTAAAAAAATCCTTCTTTTTGTTTCATTTTTCAAAGATTTATAGGAAATTTTGGAAGAAATAATTGGTTGATAATTAAGTAATGAAAAAGAAGGGTATTTTGTGAATGCAATTGGCGAAGCATTCACAATATTAGCCATTTGTGCAAAAAAAGAAGTGACTGATTTTCAAGAAACAATTGGTTGTTGGACTATTTATTCAAGTAGGAGTAGTTGTTGGAGATAAGAAAAAAATTGGGAAAGGCAAAGAAAGTGACACGACTATACATTTCTATTTCTATTATATAGAAAGATGAAGCCAACCAGACGACCAAGGGTAGTTTTGTCAAACAAAAAATATTTCAAGCTTAGTTTAAGTGTACATTGTGCATAAAGTATTAAAATTTCCAAAAAAACCAACCAAAATTTATGTAATTCCCAATGAATCCATCACTAAGTCAATAGTTGTGGATTTTAATGGGCACACGTGTACCAATACATTGGGAGGAGTAAAAGAAATCATTGCAAAATTACATGGACCCCATTTATTGATTTACTTCAAAACCATGTACATTCAAGCTGATAAATTTTTTTAAAAATTCTTTTTTATTTTTGAATGTATAATTTTTAATGAGATTTTTTCATACCAAAAATTCAAATTTGAGGGCATTTAATCATTTCCTTTCTTAGTGTGGTTTGATCATGAAAAAATACTGTTTATTTTATTTAAAAAATTTATAGTTGAAGTCATGTTTGGTTAAATTTTATGCAAAAAATATTTAGAATTTAAATATACTTTTTCTAAAGGCATAATATATAAATATGTCATTTAATTTGTTTCATCTAACATGTCCTTCAATTTTAGATATCCATAAGTAGACACATAAACTTGTATAGAATTGAACAAGTTGACACTTGTGTCCTACTTGACGTCCTATGTATAATTCACGTCCTATGCGATATTTTATGTGGCTCCCACGTGTGTTATTCCCCGTAGGACGCGTGTGTCTACTTCTTCAACTTTATAAAATTTTAAGTGCTTACTTGTGCACTCCCTAAGTAGAATGTCATAGATGTCAGACGAAGTCAAGTTAAAAGATATATTTATATATTATGTTTTTCTAAATATGGTTTATATTCCTCAGTTTCTAAAAATTACTTGACTAATATACTTGAGACGTACAACCAAATTGCAATAAAAAAAAGTAATATCTCAAAATACATAGTTGTATAATGTCATAGATTAGATCTCATATAGTTAGGGGCTGTTTGGTTATTGGTTAGACTTACGCAGTTTTTAGTAATGCATGGTTTAGTTATGTAGGATTTAGTTATGTGGTATTAATTATGTTGGTGTTAATTATGCAAATATTAGTTATGTAGGTATTACTTAGTTATGTAGAAATTACAATACATAAATTATTAATTATTGAATATATTATTTACAAATAAATAAGCAAGCAAATAGTATAATTTCCAAAAAAAAATAAAAATAGAATGAAATCTTCTCTATACTTAAGTGGGAATTCTATTTATTTTTTCTCTCTCTATTTTTTTTTTAATGTTTAAAGCTTATAAAAATAAAATACCATAAATATATTTCAAGTACATTATAAAATCCTATTTTATATAATGTAAATTTCTATCAAGATGCTGCATGTATTGTTTGTACATTTTTAGTATACCAAATATATGAGTTATATATAAATTTATATTCCAAATAAAAAAACAATACATAATAATTAAATATGTGGAATATATTTAGTAATATATGGTGATAATATATGATTAGCATATGCGTTGTCAAAGTTATACATTCCGATTCATCATATTAATAAAATATTTATATTTTGATTTCAAATGAAAACAAATAAAAAATTGTTCGTATACAAAAGAAATAAGACACAAAAATAGCTAGGAAAATAGAATAGTTATGTAAAGTTTTTTCTAGAGTTTTCAATATAAAAAGGTAATAGGGATAAATGTGTAGTTTTTTTAATACATGTATAACTAATACCCTCATAACTTATTCCATCTTTTATCATGCATAATTTATACATAGATTCCCTCATAAGTTATGTAGGTATCAATTATGTAGGATTACAAAAAATGTAACCATACACCGTATAGAATTAATACAAGAATGAAACGTATCAACCAAACATGGTAAGTCATGTTGGCTTTTCTACCTAATACAAAATTTCTACCAAATATAGTAAAACAGATACAACTTTTTATATATGAGAAAAAAATGCATCTTATACGGTAACCAAACGGCCCCTTAAAATATTAACAAGGTTTTGAATGTTTTTCAAATTTCAAATACAACTTTAAGTTATATTTGTAATTTTCATAATCAGATGTTGATTTTCAAATAAAGTGAAATAAAAAGATTATCTATTTCTTTGTGTTAATTTATTTTTCATATCTATTAAAAATAAATAATTAAAAATAATTTTATTATCTTAAAATAAGATATAATTTTATTTTATTTTTCATGTTTATACTACTCTAAATGTGAAAAGAATATCATCAAATTAACTGTTTAATTATGTTTGACATTATGTTAAAATAACCATTGGTGCATATTATATTGTATTGTTAATTAAGACAATTTAAATAAGTTACAAGTTATGATTTGATAAAAATATATGTTTATATATATATATATATATATATATATATATATATATATATATAATTAACTGTTTAATTATGTTTGACATTATGTTAAAATAACCATTGGTGCATATTATATTGTATTGTTAATTAAGACAATTTAAATAAGTTACAAGTTATGATTTGATAAAAATATATGTTTATATATATATATAAATTATTATTATTATTGTTATTAATATAAAGTGTGATTTTATTATCATTTACTCTCGTTTTTATTAGAAAATATTAATGATAATTTTTCTTTTCAAAAAATTAATTAAATACCTCTTAAATTTGTAATATTGGGCCCGTTAACGGGCCCTTTCATATCTAGTATACATATAAAATGAAATATACTAAAGATATTACACGTGGTGACCACAAGCACTAGCTACTTTGCAAAAGTTGTTTGTTTCTTTTTCAGTATAAATGGGCTAAGAATCAACGAGTAGTGATAAGTATTCTTTTATTTTTAATCGGAGGTTTTGAGCTTGAATCTTCTTAAATACGTAGTTTCTTTTGTTAGGAAAGCGCTTTAGTTGAATTCCAATATAGATACCATAACAATTGTGGAAACTTTCCGTTATTTTTCTGTTTTTATTTTTGTGGCACAGATCACAGATAATAATGATTGGCAAACTTTTAAGTTGACAAACTTCAGAAATAGAGATGACATAAAGCCCAAGAGACAAATCTATCGAATCCCAAAGAAAACAATAAGTGCCATGAACTTATTTTACAAAACTTTTTGCAAGTTTAACCATTTCAAAATCAACTTCATCAGAAATTCAAACATCTCTGAAGTTAGATTTTTCTTTGTTTGAAGTTTGGCTTGGTGCAGTCCCAATATTCAGATTTGGGTGCTACGTTATCATTTGTTACTCGTTATGTGGTCATGAGATTTGATGTGGGTCGTGAGATCCTTTCTAAACACTTTCATGTCTCTACTCCCATTAGTGATTTTGTGGTTGTACTCATAACTGAAATTTGATCTACCAAGCGTAATTACAAACTCGAAAGACAAAGACATTGATAATATGTCAAACTGAGAGTAGTTTATGTGGCCATTCTTCATTCATGCCAATGTTTCCAAAAGTTTTCTCCAACAATGCACGTTACCATATTATCAGTATCGATCAATCAACTATAGTAAAAAAACATCGAAAACTCACATATTATCAGAATTTCTAATTGAACGAACATCTATCAGGTTAGTACTGATCCACAATTGCAAATCAATGGAATTAGTCTGATCTTTGTGCAGCAAAATTGATTTCATCATATTATAATCATAGTGATGCACCAATGTCTCAAAATCTGCCCGGAACTCGAATAACTTCTTAAAGATACATGGCTTTTCACAATCGTTGGGCACGTTCCCAACCATTTCTCTACACCAATTGCAGTAGTACTCAGTTTCAATATTTGCAATAGGCCAACGTCAAGATTCCTCTGCTTAACTCTTGTCTTTTCCAAAAACAAAACAAAAATCACAATTTCACTTCTTAAATTCAAAACATCATATTAGAATTAATTACACATATAGAGTACACCAAATATCTTAAACCTTCAAGATCAGAGAAAGTCGCTACCAATAATTTACCTTATTTGTTTATATTTTTTATTTTGATAAATTCTAAAGAAAATATTGTAATGGATTATAATTTAATAATTATTTTTTCTTTTTCAATTGATTGTAATATTTTGTAAGACAAGAATAAACATATATAAACTATTGTATGAGACATAACAAAACAAATGTTTAAATCTCTCTTATTGATTATATTTTTGAAAACTTTTTCAATATTATCAATTGTTATCTAAACCATCAAAATTATTCTAAAAGTGTATTAAAAATAAAATTAAAAATTCACTTCATTGAATATGTCAATTAGAGTCATTTTTATTACTTTAATAATATTTTGTAATACTTTAAACTACAAAAATCAATATTAAAGTAATTGGAAAACATTCAAGGTTAAGATGATATATTTTAAAAAATTAATCATTTGATAATCTAATTAGTTTGGGCTTGAAATGCTTAATAAAACATCTCAAAGAATTGGAGACAATCTTACAAAGCATATATTAAAGAGTCCGAAGCCAAAAACGCAAAAAAATTGAGCAAAATTTCCAAAATGATAACAAAAATTGAGTATGAAACCAAAAGAGCAACATTTGAATGGAGGGGCAAACGACGTTAAATTGTATGTACAAGGCTTATGCTGACATATGACTTCCTTTTTTTTTTTTTAAATGGCGCATTTCTAAATAAAAAATTAATATTCCTTCGTCATTATTTATTCAATAGTTTTGTTGTTGTGTTTTTGTGTTTTTTTTTCTTTCTATTTTCACTATTTGTATGTAAATAAAAATGTAAGTGATGCAGTCAAGTTTAATAGTTATTTTAAATTATAATTTGATAATATTGAGGACAAAATATAGAGACATGAAAAGAACACACAGTTTAGGCGTATCATTTGGTTCGGTCCGATTTTAAAGTTTATCGATT